CCTGCCACACAATGCAACATTTCAGCCATGTCTCTTTATGTTTGCAGTAATACAAAAGTATACATGCAGGTGAGAACCATATTGAAGGTAAAGAAACTACCTCAACTTGACCTATAGTTCACCAGTAGCATTTTGTCAAAACTTCTGAGACTTTCCATGACTGCCATGTAACATGTTTTTAACCTGTTTGCCTGAACCAGCGGAGGAACAGAATGCTGTATATTGTGTTTTTGTTCTCTGTGTATATAGAACTTAGACTTGTGTGGCACTGATACACAGCTACAGCTCTCAGCCTTCACTGCAATAAGATGTCAATATTTAAAATTAGAAAGTGACGTGGTGATGGTATCAGCTGGAAGGAAAAGTTTTGAAATGGCTTTAAAGTTGATCCCACAGATCCTGCTTACTTGTTGTATCAGCACCACCTGCTGGTACCTCACATCTTTTCCATTGTAATGCTGACAGAAAATTTTCCTTTAACATTTCATTTAAGCTCTAAAAATATTTGGGGAGGCGTCAAAAAGAAAGATTGTTGTTTCCCCTAATCTCTATGGAGACCCCACTGAACAATTTATACTGATGTTATTTCATCTAAGGAGAACAGAGAAGGAGGTTTATCCAAATCTCTTAAATCCTAACTTAGGCAAATCCTGCTCTGAAACCAATGGAAAGGATCCAGAGAGTTGACTCCTGGTTTGCATAATTTTTTTACATGTTATCTAGCTCATCATGTTTTGGAACTGAAACAAAATTGGATTCATCAGCACAGAGAATGATTCTGAACAGATTTGCACACACAGTATGATTCACCTGTTGAGACATTTCTAAGGGAGGATTCATCTCACCTAACACAGTCACATCAAGGAGTATGTTTCCAATCCAGCTGAGTGCATCTTTTATTTTTAGCAGACAAAATATATCACTATTTTTATGTTATTTTGAACTCAAATTCTACTTCCTTTTGCTAGATAGTCAGATCTACCAAATAGATACCCAAGTGAAGTGGAGATATCTTATTCATTCATTGGAAAAGGGAAATATAAGGACAATGAAGTGTGTTCATTCTTCAGGGAGGCAGTCAGATGTACATTCAGCTCTGGACAAGACTCAGCAGATGATGTCCATGATCCAAGTGAGGGATCAAAATAGGTATCTAAGACACATGGCAGGGGAGGTGGGCCATTGCAGTGCAAGGATACTGGGGACATAAAAATGCTGATGGCGCTTACAGGAGGGGCTGGAGGTTCTAAAGTGGCCTTAGGGAGGACACAAAGGAAGACGGTGATATTTTGCCTTGGAACTGGAGAGAGATATAATGGGAGGACAAATACAAGGAGAAATGGAAATTATGAATGCAGGATATAGATTTGTAGGTATTTGGCTTCCTTAGTTCTGTTGAACTGTTCAATATGTCTATTTTTCTCGCTTCCCCCACAGCAGAAGCAATGGAAGGTCTTTTGCAGACCCACTACCTGTAGGCTTGCTCTCACATCGATGTAAATATGTCCTCACTGCTTTTCCTCATCAAGATGCTTTCCTACTGCAGTCTCATAAATCTGGTTTGCAACAGTTGCTGCACTACAGCCCAATTGTCAAACCTCTGAAAGCTTCATCTTTGTCTGTACTATATCTCTGCACCCATTAGTTCCCCTGAGGGAGGCAAGGGCATGGCTACTGGAGCATCAAAATGAAATAAACATACATTAGCACTGGCAGAATGAATTTAAATATCCTGATTTTCAGAGCATCTGCAGGAAAGGCAGAAAGGCTTGATCTCAAAATAGCCTTAAAAATATGATAAAATATCTACTTTACTTTTTATTTCATAGGTATTGTGTACAGAAGGTTTGTCTGATGTCCTTAAAGCCCTCTGTTGCCTCCTGTGAGTTCTTGAACCCTTTGCTCACATTGTGTGATCTGTAAGGTTAAGGTTGTCAGGGATCCTAATGACTTGTACTTTCTTTCCAAAGGTATTGAAGTGACCAGCCTCATTTGTCCACTGTAACTGGAAGCAGTTCAGTTCTGCTCTTGCATACTACACCTGAAGCCATAGTTTTGGAATAATTTTGTTTTGTTTGTTTTGATGGGTTATTTTTGTTTGCTTGGGGGTTTTTTTTTCCCCTTATTTCTCTCCCGTCTTAATCTTTCATTTTATTCTGCTGTTTAGGCTTTGATAGAAAACTTAGCCATGTGTAATTCTTATGAAGTAAAAGCCAAATACTTGTTGTTTATAGATCCCATAACTGTATGATACATTATTAAATCTTTTCCTCATCCTAGATAAACATACCCAGCAAAATGCTGTCCATGGTGAAACATTTGGAGACACCCAAAGAGAGCAGGGAAATGAAGACACTTGCTCTTTCACAGTTACTGTAATACAAAGTTTGTTATAAAATTCAATACAAATTGCAAAGTTAGGCCAAAGTAATTCTAGGTTGAAACAATGATGAAATAGCAGAACATTGGACCTCAACAGCAACAAAAAGCCTATTTTAACATACTGAGTTTAAGAATGGTAGTGCTTTAGAAATTAGAAATACGTGCAGATTTTTAACAGACTATGTTCTAATTATTTTGGTCTTTGGTGTTGATTTTATTTTTTTAATACAAATGTGAATCTCTCAGCCCCTAAGAAATTTCCTTTAATTTATCATACAATGTTATCAGTTGCAAAACAGCTGGTACATTGTGACCACAGGCCATGACAACCCATTGTGTTCACCCCAAGCCTTTTCTTGTTCCTAAATTATTTTCTGTGGGAAATTTCCCTCTAACACAGTTTACTTCACAACCACAAAGCACAGATGCCCTCGTCCTTATTGCATTCCTCTCTTTCCAGCACAAGCTTCATGGAACTGAAACTCATGGAGAAGTAAAGCATCAGTGAATTCCCTGCTGCCCACTAGTCACAAAAGTAGTTTTAAAGGACTATGTATTTTTGGCAAAAAACAAGAAAATTAATTTAAATACAAATGCTATGTCAGCACTTACTCATTTGCCTCTTGGGTAAGAGAGATACAAGTTCACTAATCAAGGAAATATTATAGTTCACTGGGGCTTCAGAACTGCATTTAAAAGTTTTTGTCTCACTTATCTGCATTCTCCACACTCTAGCATGGATAATTTTTTCACATTATGTATGTACTTTTTATTTATTATTTCATTTTACTTGTGTTTTTATGTTTGTTTCTGGACAGCGCCAACACTGTAGTGAAATTTTGGGGAAAAAAAGACCTGACTGCCAAAAAGAAGGTTTTAAATGCTGCTAGTTTTAGCCTGTAGGAGGAAAATATCTAGGATAGTTGAAACACATTTTAGACATAAAGAAAAATACAGTATCAAATTTAATTAAAGAACTAGAGCTGCCAGGTAGTAATTAACTGTTTTAAATCTACAGCTGTGTGAGAAAACATTGGTCATAAGAATAATGTTATGCAAATTAAAATGGATGCTTGGGTTGTACAAATTTAAATTTCCAGATATCTGTGACAATATAAATTTCACTGAGAAAATAATTATGTGCTGATCTATATTCAGGTGATCTCTTGAAATGTTGTTGACAGCCTTGAGCAGAGAAGGCAATCACAGAGAAAGATAGGAATAATGCCAATGTTTAGGGAAGATATGCCTGTCAAAATATGGAACACTGAATTATATAAAAAAAGATTTTATAATAAAGTTATTTGGCTTTTAAAGTGATTACAGTTTAGACATCCTCTCTGCTAATTCAGTCTGCATCACCACAGAACATTTTGACTTAGAAGCTGCACACCACGTATCAACCCAAGGAAGGCTGAATGAAATAACATGACTAAAGGTTTGTGCTTGGCATAGTCCTCATATAAATGCTTCAAGTACAGGAGCCAGCTGAGGGAAGATCCTATTTCTATTCAGGTTTCATTTTTTCCTAAATCAAGCAAAGAGTTTTGCAAGCACACGTCACCAGCATATAAAGTTCTGAATGTGGGAGCTGCATGAAATGTGTTATATATGCAATGTTATATAAATATGTATACATAGAATATATCTCCTCAGTGGTGCCATTCTTCCTTGTCAAGGACACAATACAGTTCTGTAAGGAAAAACCAATCATTCATATCTATATACTCCACAAGAACAATATTGTCACCATTGTAGAGACAAGTGTCACCAGTGTCACCATCGACCCTTGAGACGGATCTGGGTACCGGATCATACGCTTTTTCCTGCGCTGTTTGTGGGCTGGGACAGAATGTTCTGTCTACATTCTCACTGAGAGTTTGGCTGACTATGAAGGCATGAAGGGCAGAGTTTAATAGTCCAGCTTAAACAGTGAGATCCCAGCTCCATTTGCCACTATTAGCAGTGTTTCTAGACTGTAATCCAGCGTCAACAGGGTCCAGAGAGATTGATTAGAAAGCAGCGGGTGTTTGAGCTGAACAGCCCTAGACAAAACTGAGAATGGTTAGCTGGCTACAGCTACAGCTTCACAGTACTGCAATTCAGCTTTCTCGTCACAGCCAAGAGTTCTTCATCCTGTCTAGGCTGGAGTTAATTTTCCATAAATGCTGTGTTTTGGATTTGTGACTGAAAACCAGTGTTGGTAACACAATGGTGCTTTGACTATTGTTGAGCAGGGCTTACACAGCACCAAGGCCTTTTCTGCTTCTCACCCTGCCTCACCACTGAGCACGCTGGAGCTACACAAGGAGTTGGGGAGGCACACAGACAAATCAGCTGAACCCAAACGACTGCAGGGACACCCTATAAAATATGGCATCACGCTAAATTTTAAGGAAAACGAGCTGTTTTAAGGAAAAGAGAGGACACTCCCAAGATGAAGGGTCTGTCTGGACAAGAGCCATCAGGAGTGAAGTCAGCAGAAGTGAGCAGTAGCTGGGGGAAGAGAAGGATCCAGAGGAGGGCCACAAAGCTGGTGAAGCATCTGGAGCACAAGTCCTGTGAGGAGTAGCTGAGGGAGCTGAGGTTCTTTAGACTGAAGAAAAGAACTCTCAGGGATGACCTTACAACTCTCTACAACTCCCCGAAAGCAGGTTGTCGCCAGGTGGGAGTTGGCCACTTCTCCCCAGCAACAGGATGAGACAACATAGTCTTAAACTGAGGTGGGGGAGGTTTAAGTTGGACATTAGGAAGAATTTCTTCACAGAAAGGGGTTGAGGCGGGGGAGGTTTAAGATGGACATTAGGAAGAATTTTTTCACAGAAAGGGGGATAAGACATTGGAATGGGCAGCCCACAGAGGTGGCAGAGGGCTGGATGTGACAGTGCCATGGTCTAGTTGACATGGTGGTGTTTGGTCACAGGTTGGACAAGATGATTTCAGAGGTCTGTTCCAGCCTGTTTGGTTCTGTGATAGGTAATTCTGGCAGTGGGCGACCACAACCACCAACTCATTGACCAAAATGGACCCCAGACTCAAATGGAGGGAAGAACTGCACCTGCAGACTAAGTAGCATGAGAAACACGACATACAACCGGCAAGCAGGGCTTTGACTGCGGATAGACAAGCTATGAAATTTGACACGAATTAATGCTAACGGCTTTGTCTGCTGAGGCGCATAGGCACTGTAAAGCGCTGTGAAGCACTGACGGTCGGGCGGCCGGCCTGCAGCGGCCCCGGGCCCGGCTCCCGCCCGCCCAGCGCCCGGGATTTGCAGGTGAGAGGGCGGAGGTGCCGCTCCCGCTCCCGGGGGCGGGGTGGGGCCGGTCCGGGCGGAGCGCCGCGTCCCCTCGGGGCCGCCCCAGGCCTTCCCTCGGGCCGGCCCTGCCCTGAGGGGAGCGGGTGGTGTGCCCCGATCTGCCCTCTCAGCCTTCTGAGCTCTCTCGGCTTTTCTGCCTTTAGCTCCCACGCCCCTTTGGGGCTGGGAAGGGGAGGACGCCTCTGGAAGAGCACTAGGCCCTTTAGGGAACGGTGTGTGCTCGGTTCTACAGGGAACGGCTCTCCCGACACTTCACCAGTTGGGTTTTAACTGTCCTTGAAGTTACAGAAGTGCCATTGCCTTTCCTGATTATTTTATAGGAATGTCTTGTCCCGTATGAAAATGTCAGTCTCTGCAGATGTGGTGTAAGACTAAGGACAAGATCTTTTCCCAGGTGTAAGTGGGAAAAGTAGAGTGTGATAACGAATGTAATTCAGCATCAGTACTTAAATGCTTACTTACAAACCCTCTTAGCAGTATTAGCAGTAGTCTTTTTTTTTTCTTTTTTTTCTTTTTTTTTTTTTTGTGGGGGTGGGGGTTTGACAGTTTATGAAGGTTCAGAATCCTTTAGCAAGAAATTGATTGGAAAACAGATGAAACTTAGTAACTGAAACTGTCCCTGTGCTTTTTAGTTGCACACAATTGACAGAGAAAGATGGGTATAGGTTTTTTTTATGATTACTCTTTGGAATTTTAAGGTTCCTCTTAAGATTAATTTTGCTGCAGTCATAGGATGCTTAGATTTGGGAAGGTTGTTGGAGATCATCTTGTTCCAGCCCCAATGCCTTGGGCAGGGACACCTTTCACTAGACCAGCTTGCTCAGAGCCCCATCCAGCCTGGCCTGGAACACTCCCAGGGATAGGGCATCCACAGCTTCTCTGGGAAAGCTTTTCTTATGCCTCACTACCCTCTGAGTAAAGAATTTCTTCCTAAAACCTAATCTAAAAATCTCCTCTTGTAGTTTAAAACCATTCTGCCTTGTCCTATCACTGTCTGCCCATGTAAAATGTTGCTGTCCCTCTTTTTTTCTGAACCCCCTGTAAGTACAAAAGGCCCCAGTGGGATCTCTCTGGAGCCTTCTCCAGTGTTACCGTTGTGTTAATCTCCGGGATTGCTTTTTTGTTGCTACATTGTGTAACAGTAACAAAGTCTGTGTTAATACTTTTGGTTGGTAGGTCTCAGTCAGCTGAAGCAGGCTGGCATTTTGGCTGGATCCTTATAGATAAAGTGTTAAACCCCAAGGAAGTACCCTCCTGGTCTGTGCCTGATTTGTGGTGCCACAATGTGAGATGAGATAGGAGGAAAGCACAGAAGCCTGGCCATGCCCTTCCATGTTCTCTCAGCATCCCTCAATCCTTGCATTAGGGATGGTACAGGGTGTGTTGTCTGTGACTTACCCATCAGCTTTATGTATCTGAAAGGAATTTTCTTCTATCCTCAGATGGAATAGGGGCCTTCAGCAGATTTTTTTTTTCGGCTCTCTTTTCTCAATTTAATTTTTTAATGGATATAATTCCTCATATTTATTTTTCCCCTGCAGAAAATACCTCATAATATTATAAAAACAGCAAAAAATAATATGGGATTAATACCCTGTGTTTGTAGCAATGTGTTTTCAAGGACAGATGATGTTTCATTTTATTTTAATGAGTATCCCCTCTACATAAAAACATAATGAAATTGTAGCCCTAGTACCTTTTCTGGTGTATATGATAAAATATTAATGCCAGTCACATAGTGTGAGCAAAGTGGTTTGGGGACAAAAATAAGGATGATTTGGCAAAGTAGACTCTTATTCAGGACAAAAGGAAGATTGCTGAAATGACATTGCAGGTCCCTTACATACATTTCTAAGAATGAGCTTGCCAGTGATATGGCAATATTTTGGGAATCCTTGAGAAAAAGTTATTGGGGTTTGTGTAAGTTTTTGTGGAGTGATGCCTTGAATTCAAGCCAGCAAGGCTGAATTTGTTCTTCATCCCAGTACAAGCTTATGTGAATTTTGTTTCTTACATTTCTATGTAAAATGTTTGTAAAATTTGTTGTTTGCTTCTGTCAGAGGGTCAGGTTGCTGCTTTATTTCAATTTGTTACCAATAATGAACTGATGCTTAATATCTCTTTGTGTATTTACTCTTGAGACTGAATCTAATACAGATTTTATGTAGCTGTTGAAGCAGTAGAAACTAAAGAATAGCAAAGTGCAAGTTCCAAGTCATAATGGCATTTAAGCATTGTGTAGTTTGTTTGGTTTGTTTTTTTTTTTTTTTAATAAAGCACAAGAGAAGTTGAATTTTAGTTGGGGTTCCTCATGTTGATATTTCTGCTCTTCTGGACAGATGGATATTTCACATTAATGTTTGTCTTATTTCTATTCTATATGTAGTTCTTGAGTTATAGACTTACAAAGAAGAGTTTTGTTTCCTACAGCTGGCCTTGGCAGAGTTATATGAAGATGAAGCTAAAAGACAGTCATTGTGTTCTGACAAGACAACAACTACAAAGATCAGTAACCCAAAGGCATCACAGAGGTAATATGTGGGGTTTTTTTCAGAAATGCATGGATAGGTGTCTTATTAGCTCACAAAACTTTGTCATTCCTGCTTGATCCCTCCTTGTATTAAATGCAATCTACAGCAATTCATAAACAAAAATTGTGAATTCCTGCAATAAGGCATTGTCTCTCTTCTCAGAGTGCTTTTAAAATTTGTTTAGGAGCATTTCTACCAATTGGTATTCCAGGTATTCCAAAACACTTTAAACCCATTTCACATGAGATGCTATAAGCAAAATGCTGTGTTGCTCTTTTTTTACACAGACATAATTTGGAAATTTGCTGTATCAGAAAATCACTGCAGTTCCTTGTTTCTTCAAAATTCAGTAAACTGGCAGCTTGTGTGAAACTGCTTTCAGTTGTATTTATGGCAGTGCCTGATGAGACAAACATTGATTCTAAAAATTATTGGTAGATTGCTACCAATAGATTACAGAAATAAGAAGGGCTTCTTAATGAATTTGTCTGGTTTGGGCAGGTGGAAGGAAAGATGCATATTTATATTTCAGTCCAGCTTTTCCTAAAACACTACTAAACTGCAGTGTTTGCAGTTCACATAACATTTGAAGATTCAGCATAGTCCTGGATGTTTTTTATAAAAGTATCTTGCTAGTGTTTAATTAATTTTAAAAAATAATTTAAAGAAGAGAAATATTTATAAAACTACTAACAGTGATACCATAACAAGCCTTGTATGCGGCTTGTTTTTGAATCACTGCTGCCAGTGGATCTCAGTGTTAAAGGTCAAGCAACAGAAAAGATCTTAGTCACCAGTAATGCTTCAAGTTCACTGCAAATGCAGAAATCTCTTCAGGAAAGAGAGACTTTAGCAGAGTATGTGGCACTTGGAAGTATAGAGGGTTTTGAGGTTTTTTTTGGTTTTTTTTGGTGAACCCACTTAAGCTGACTAACCAGAACTAAGCTTACAAACAAATAAAGCAAACAGCTTCATTTGCCAATACATCTCATGAAGTTAAAACTTCCCACTCCCAAGCACAGGAGGTGCTGCAGTACCATATCTCAAATACTTCAGTGTGATCGTTGGCAAATACTTGTTACTTGCTGGCATTCATGTTGGAATCTGTGTGAGAAGGAAGAGATGAATTACTAGACTTCAGTTTGTTCTCAGATGAGAACAGTGCATTAATTGCATGGAAATAGAGCTGCTCTTCTATGCTGGAAAAAAATAATTCAGTTGGAATAGACCTATAGTGACCATCCAGTCCAACTGTTAATGCAAAATGACTCTGCCATATGTGTGCTCTTTCCTCCTTGTTCACTGAGAAGCATTCATGGCTGTGTACTTTGGCAAAACAAACCCAAAAAACCAAGCAACCAAACAAAACCCCCAAAACCAGAAAACACGACTTGATATTTTTAGTTTTTGAAAAAGAAGTAGTTTCAGAAGTTAGATATGAAGTTTATGTGCCAGTCATCTTCAAATGTTTTCTTTTATTCTCTTGGCAGTCTTAAACTGGATTCTCTTAAAAGGTTGAGAAAACCAGAGAGAAGCATGAGTGATGACAAAGAAAACCAAAGGTATTTTTAAAACAAAACAAAAAAATAATTTAGCAATTGTGAAAGTAATTGGGATTTGTGACACACTCACACTTTGCTCCCTCGTGTTCTTACAAAATGCAAGTGAGCTAGGTCTGTCCTGCAAAACACATTACAGTGTTTGCTGAACAGTATTGTTATAAAATTATATTTATCAGAATCTGGCTGCAGTGATGTAGGACCTGTAGATGCCTTAACCTGTATGGTCATTAAAGTTTTAACTTACACTTGTACTCAAAAACTTTTTTGTCTTTCTTGAATATCCTGAATTGTTCTGTATATCTAATGCTCAAATATTTGAGTACTTTCTTTCTTGAATACAAATTCTGATAAGAATTCCTGTTTCATATCCTTACCACTATAATTCTTTTAAATATAATAATTAAAAATTTTCCTTATAAATGGTAGTTTATAAGGGGTAATAAATACTGATTTATGTACAAGAGAGACATGTTACTTGGGTTGACAGTTATGTGGCATTAAAAACCAGTATTATTGTAAAGTACTCTCATACCAAATACTCTCTTCTGGTAATTGTAAAATATAATGGAATCAACACATTGTGAAGGCATTGGTCTGAGAGACAGTTTCACATGGATTAATTGATTTGCCTTACCCCAAATGGTTAAATGTAAAAGCTGAGGGAAGTGCAAAGCAGTTATTAGTTATTAATGCTTCCTGTAATCAAAGGCAAAACAATCAGGTTTGCCAGATTTTGATTTTTTTACAGATTTTTTACAGCATCTATTCCAATGATATTTAGAGATTGTAGTGCCTTTCTCAAGATAATTCTCGAAGGAATATCTTGATCTTCATCATCAAACAGATACAGTTTTGAACAGGATTATTTGTAGTTTAGCATTTTGTCTTCAAGTGCTAGTAATGGTGCTGTGAAGGAAAAAAACTCCACAAATTAGCTTTCACAACAGCTTCTGCAGGTTTTAAAATGCCTTGAAAGTTAATTATATTGATTAAAAAATTTCCATTTCTGATAATGTTGGGAATGGAAGTATGCTAGATCTTTGACTTAAAAAATCAAATTGTGGCAAACTGTACTTGGAAAGCCTGAACAGTTTTATATTTGTTCTGCTAAGGTGGTGTTAGATGTGACTTTATATTCTATCCAATCCAGGCACAGTCCCATGCACAGGACACCCCTGAGGAAATCAGTCTTTCTGGGAGTGGGTGACAGTCATATAAGATGCCCAGCTCCATCAGGACTGTGTTCACTTAAAACTTATGGCTTGCCATCTGATCATTGGCATCTGTTCCAGAAGGCAGCTTGGTAATTTGTTAGTCAAGTGTCTTTAATATAATGCTACTGGGATTACTGAGAAGGGTGGAACCAAGGGAAACATTTATCAGAATGAAAAGGTTTTGTGCCAAATTTACCTCTTTGTTAATTTTTTTTCTTTAGATGGGAAGAGAAAAATTGTGCTTGTTATTTAAAGCACTGTTGCTTATTTGCATTACTATTCTAAAGATTTTATTCAGGTGACTCAGAATATAGAGGATTACAGATTTCTGGGGCTTCTAATAATCCAAGTAAAATTGTTGCTGAACTCTTCAAGGAAGCAAAAGAACATGGGGCTGTACCATTAGATGAAGCCTCAAGAGCATCTGGTGATTTCAGTAAAGCCAAGGTAAAAGTTAAGAAATGTGTTGATCTCTCTTTACATTCATGTCTCTGAAATTCACCAAATCACAGGAGAGCAAGTGCCTCTTTCTGTGATTTACAAATAGCAGATTTGCTCAAAACAGTTTTATATTGTCTGTTTTCAAACAGCTTGCTCTAGAAAATAAAGAGAAAGAACCTCATCATTTCAGAGGGAATAATTAGAAATCATCAGGAACTGGAATTATATGCTTTGTTTTTAATTACAATTGAATAAATAAGAAACCAGACTAAATTTGCATCCCAAATCTTACTTATAGAATTGCTCCTACAGAGTTGTGGTCATCAGTTCAGTGTCCAGATGCAGGTTGGTGACAAGATGTCTGTAGAGGGACCAGTGCTGTTCTCTGTCTTTATCAGTAGCACAGACAGTGGGGTCAAGCGCACCCTCAGCAAGTCTGCAGGTGATACCAGGCTGAGTGTTGCAGATGAAGTGCCTGAGGCCTTGGATGCCAGAGGGATCTGGACAAGCTTAAGAAATGGGCTCATGGGAACCTCATGAAGTCAGCAATGCTAGATGCAGGATTCTGCATCATGGCAACCCCCAGCATCAGGCTGGAGGATGAAAAGATTGAGAGCAATTCTGGGGCAGGACATGGGGATAGTGGTGGATGAAAAGCTGGACATGACCCAGCAATGTGCACTTACAGCCCAGAAAGCCAAACGTGTCCTGGGCTGCATCACAAGAAGCATGGGCACCAGGGTGAGGAAGGGGATGCTGCTCTTCTACTCTACTCTGGTGAGAGCACACCTGGAGTGATTGATCCAGCTCTGGGATCCACATCACAAGAAGGACATGAACCTCTTAGAGCGAATCCAGGGGAAAGCTGCAAAAATAATTGGAGGAATGGAGCATCTCTCCTTTGGGGAAAGGCTGAGAGAGTTGGGATTGTTCAGCCTGGAGAAGACCTTATTGCAGCCTTCTAGTACTTAAAAGGAGCCTATAAGAAAGATGGGGATAGACTTTTTAGCAGGCCCTGTTTTGGTAGAACAAGGGATAAAGGTTTTAAACTAAAAGAGGGTAGATTCACACTAGGTATAAGAGAGACTCTTTTTTTTACAGTAAGTCTGGTAAGACACTGGAACAGGTTGCTCAGGGAGGTAATGCATGCCCCATTCCTGGAAACATTTGAGTTTGTTACCTTTAAAGGTCTCTTCCAACCTGAAGTATTCTATCATTCTTATGTTTGAAAAAGTATACAGAACAGAAGCTGAAACATGTCACAAAGCTTTTTTTAGTTTGACTGTGGCTGCTAGATATAATTTTCCACATAGAAAATACATGATAGAACAGTACTTGCATTTTATCATGGAAGCAAGCTTGTAGATGGCTTTTTTATTTTTTTCTTTTTTTGTGTGTGTGCCTAGGTAAGAATTTTAATAAACTGTTTTAGATAATTATTTTATAAGCTTTTATTTCTATTTTTTCAGTCATTTTCTGGTGGTGGATACAGATTGGGTGACTCATCACAAAAGCACTCTGAATACATATATGGAGAAAGTCAGGATGTAAGTAAAATTCATAGCAGAACCTCCAACGGAGGCCTGCTTAATCATGTTTACAGCTTGAAATGCCAGTATTACCAAAACTATATTTATGAGGAGAAAATAATATCTAAATATTAGCTATGTGTTCAGTAGAAATTGTTGAAGTTTCCGAAGAGATGTTTATTGGATTCCCCTAAGGCCTCCATGATGGAACTGTCAGATGTTAATTACTTTGACATTCTTAGCACACCTCCCTGTCAGCTACTTTCCACTACGTGTTGTCCTGGATTCTCTTAGCTGTGCTAACATTTTAATGCTTTTAGAAATTGATTCTTCTTGTGGCTTGCAAAGCAGCCCATCTCAAACTGGAGGGCATGGATGTGTCCTAGGGAAGGTGAAGCAGCAGGCTTGAGGCCTTTCTTTCCTATCATTTAAAAAGCCGGATGTGAAGGAGACGGTGAGGAGAAGAGAAGTTCTCTGCACTTTGCTGTTTTTGTGGACGGCTAAAGCAAATTTTCAGTTTGTCTAGAAACAATTACTAAGGCCAAAGGATGTGGTCCTGGCTAGGGGGTGCTGTTGTGCCACACGAGGAGCCTTCTAGTCTCCAGCAAATCTTCTACTCCGAGTAACAGCCAGCTGTACCCAGCCAGAATCTTTTTGGAGTGGGCTTTCTATAATCTAAAACAATAAATAGTTTTCTAAGGGAAGGCCAGTTATACTGGCTGGGAAAGCCTAGTTTTGCTGGATGGCAAAGCACTTAGAAGGAAGAGAGGATGCAGGTTTTGAAGCTGGAAGGCCCTGGCTGGACCTTTTATGTAGGATGTAGCAAAATAAGAAGGGAGCAAAGGAGGCTGGTTTCCAGGATTCTTAGCTTTTGAGCTGAATGGAGCTACTTTCAGCTTTGTTGGAGCTCAGCATGAAGTAATTTGAGGAAAGTGTAGATTTTTCTGTAACTGATGTATCAGCCGTAATTTGTAATTTTATGGGTTTATTTCTTAATTTCTTAACAAAAATGTTTACTGCTTTTGGAAATAATTGGAACATTGTGAAGATCACAACACCCTCACTGCATCATACTTTATGTCATGGATAGCAGATTAAGAGATTCTTTTTCCTGAGGTAGGAAAGTGGTCTAGAAGAAGAAAGTAGTCTATAACTATTGGGCTTTTTCAAAAATAATCTAACAATCACAGTTACAGTGCAAGGTATTATTTTTATTTTGTCATTTGCCTTCTTGTTTTGTGGTCTTGTACAAAATCTGTTTAGTGTAGATCAAAATTTCTATAACTAGTCTGTGCAAAATTGTGCTGCCTTATTTGTCTTCCTTCACTTTTTTTAAACTTGTTTTACTTCATAGGTTCAAATTTTGCTGAAACTGTGGAGGAATGGATTCAGTTTAGATGATGGCGAGTTGAGATCCTATTCAGATCCAACAAATGCTCAATTTCTTGAGTCAGTTAAAAGAGGGTAAGTTTAAATTACAACTTTTTTGAGGGGAGGTATGTCAGTGAAGTGAAGAAAAATCCTTTCTCCACACACTTATCAAAAGCTCCAGACTTCTTCTTTGCCTGAACCCATAAAATATAGTCTGTATTTGTCACCAGATGCATGGGACACTTAAAAATTTGCAATACTTTGGTTCTTTTGGTGGTTTAACTCTGAATGGTACTTGTTACAACAGCTTTTATATTCACAATATTTTCCTAGCTCATTCTGTGATTCGCCTGTCAGTATATTCTAGGTTTTGACTGTTAGTTTACTGATTTTTTTTTCTTTTAGGATGAAATCAATTCATAAAACAATTGAATATGACTTTCAAAGTGTACATAATATTAATTTTGACTCCTACTGTGTGTGTAGTTTTTGGATGATTTTTTTTTTGCAGTTCAGAATGTAATTGAAAGTGTAAATATTGTAATGTACTATTTTTGTAATTCAGGGAAATTCCTTTGGAACTGCAGCGACTTGTTCATGGTGGCCAGGTAAATTTGGATATGGAAGATCACCAAGAACAGGAATATGTGAAGCCCAGACTGCGATTCAAAGCTTTCAGTGGCGAAGGACAAAAGCTTGGAAGGTGAAGAAAGCTAATCTGTTCTGTGCTCTGTATTCATATGCTGTTTCATTTCTATGACTGAAAATTTCAGACTATTTTGTCATGGTACCATTAGTAACATCTGGTTTGGTTTTTTTTTTCAATCCTATAGCCTTACACCTGAAATAGTCAGCACACCTTCTTCCCCAGAGGAGGAGGAGAAATCCATTCTTAATGCACCTGTCCTGATTGATGATTCCATGCCAGCAACTAAAATTCAAATTAGATTAGCAGATGGAAGCCGGTTAATACAAAGATTTAACCAAACACACAGGTAAATTTATTCTGCATCAATGCAGGTAACAATAACTATTTCAATAAGTTTGTGTTTTGTTGTTAAATGAGTCTCAGCAAGACATCAAAAAGGGGGAAATACCAGCCTTGCTGAAATGTATTGTTCTGTGTCATTTCATTACATGGATATATGATAAACTGACTATCAGAAATTCTGTACTTGGAAACACAATATATTTGATAACTGCAATTGCTGTTCAAACTTTTATAACCAATGATGTTCTTTGGTTTTTTAAGGACATAGGACAAGCCTTAATTGTTCCCAGGACAACTGAAATCTGTATAGCCCCACCATGTAGTCATCCCATCTCTGGGTCCTCCTTGGGAGGACCAGGTGGATGACTTTAGAAACACTGTGAAAACACTTTATTGTGAAGTGTGGAGTATAGTCTCAATTGGAATATAGTCTACACTATGGGCAGAGAAATCCTCTGGCCCATAATCAAGAATTTCAGCTTTCTGCCTTGTTATACTTAAGGTTGTGACAGAACATGACACAGGCTGTAAGTGTAGACTGCAGCCCATATGCAGAAGGGTGTATAGACATTTCATGCTCATTTGAAATTTCAGCATGTGAGTTGGACATAATACTGAGAGCTAACTTCTGTTTTGGATGGTCATCTTCTAAGAATTGGCCTTGTGTGAACTTGTTGGAGGTTTTAGATTTGTTGGTAGCTTTGCTTATTAGAGCTTGGCACCGGTTTTATTGATGTTGGGGCAGTGCCACAAACAGTGTTGGCCAACCCCATGAGGTTATCTTAGTGCAAGGTTCTGCAAAGCTCTGCTCTCCACTGCTGAGAGATTTTTGGCCAGAGGACAGAGATTTGGGCAGCAGTTCCACCCATGCTTTAGCACTGTTAAAGCCAGCCTTAATTTGAAATCTGCACTATTGTGTTAGAACATGGCTGCAGCTTGAATCTGGACTTGGAAGTGGTGTACATGGACCCAATTCCATGTTAATATTGTTACATGGAGAGCTCATCTGTTTCCTTTTTTCCTTCTGGCTCAGAATAAGGACAAAGTGTAGCTTTCTTTACTTGACAGTTTACATGGACCACAGTGCGGACATTCTAGCTGAGATACCAGTATGGAGGAAGATACAGCAGTATTTTTGGATAGTTTAGACCTGATAATGTATGCTGAGAGTGCAGGCCCAGATCCTTTCTTCTCAGCATCTGCTGAGAAGTGACTGATACAAACCATGGGGCTTGTTGGGAGCCTCTGTAGCTGAGTTATTTGTTCTTCTGTTTGCATGGAGGAGTAGAAGCGGAAAAATTGCCAGTAACATCTGTAACAACCTAGATTGTGTTGACAGGAGATTGTTTTATAATTATTATTAACTTTTTCTTGACTGTGAATCTTTATGATTATCTTTAGCAACTGATTTTGATCATATATAGGTAAAGTGCATTACTTATGTCAAAGGCCTTGAAGATTGATAGAAAGCAGAAATCACTGCTTAATTGGCTACAGTAAATTTGCCAGCTTATTAATTGCAAAAGATCTTCACAGATTTATTCTCAGCTTAATGTCTTAATAAAAAAAAATCTCAAATTTCAGGATTTTATCTCTAAAATACTATTTTTTGTCTATGTCTTAAAAATTAAATTATCCTTGTTATATTGTTTATGTGAGTGTTTTATTAACTGTTGTTAAGAAGTTCACTGCCAAGTGAAAATAGGGGAAAGCTCTTGCTACTGAAGTGCATTAATAATTCCTGTCTGCTTCCTCTTCCCTACGACTATATATTTTAAGATTTTATTCCATTAATAATTTAATCTTTTTGGAATGTACTAATTAACAATGAAACTTCTGACAGTGATATTGAGATTACTTCCTCTGTTTAGGTATCAGTTTGCAATATACTTACATGTTAAAAATTTTGTTTGTTATTTGAGAAAACAAGCAACATTCACTATAATTTTTCTGGGGATTTTTTTTATGCAAGAACCAAATTGTAAGCTACAATCATTAGTAATCTGGATCAAAGAGAAATATGAAATCTAGAACTTACCTAGTGCTTTAGTCTGCTTAATGGTTTTGTGTTCTCTGATCATGTTAATGATCAGAAATGTATGTCAGATGTCAAATGTGAATCATACAGAGTTTTCATGTCCATGTCCTTTCCACAGGATTAAGCATATTCGAGATTTCATTATCCAGTCCCGTCCAGCTTTTGCAACAACGGATTTTGTTCTTGTGACTACCTTTCCAAATAAAGAGTTAACAGATGAAAGCCTGACACTACAAGAAGCAGATATACTTAACACTGTGATTCTTCAGCAATTAAAGTGATCTTGTGATTGTTGTACAACATAGGGACCCTGCTGTACTGTCATACAATATGTTTCCAACAGATGAAAGAAAGAAGATATCAGTGTCTTTTTATTTCCTCTTTTCCAGGGATCATATTTTTGGATTTCATGTCTTCCAGCTATAACATATCTAACTTTTTTATTTTAATTTCTCAATATTATTCAGGTTATTTTCAGTGTTAAAATGAATGTTCTGTGTGTTAATATGTTTCAAACCACAACTTATACTAAATGTGAAATGAGATAGGACTTTGTGACTCATTGTTTTGAGGGGGGTGGGGAGAGGAGCATTTTTCTGAAGGGGACAGTGTCTTTCATAGAGTTGGTAAGATTTGCACTATGGAAATGTTCTATGCTGCATTGACAAACAGCCATTTGAAAACTTAGACTGTAGGTTATGTTTACCTTGAAAACTGTATTAATATTGAGATGTTCTTTTAATAGGTTTACAGATAATTAATGCCCTAATATAATTTTTGTACGTTCTATTTGTAGTGTTTCATGGTGTAGTATAATATTTATATTCTAGTTTTTATGTCATTTTCCTTGTATTGTTGCTCGTATGAGTGAATCAGTTCAGGAGATGCAAACCTCAGCTGTTGCACACTATAATAGAATGTTCTTATTTGTATTCTAGTTGTACTACTTGTGATGAAAACAAATATGAATTTTTTTCTTCTTGAAAGTTAGAGAAATGTGAGAGACCACTGTCATCTGGGGAACTGATGTGATTTACAGGAGGCCTCTGGTCATTATGAATCTGAGTATGCAGTTGGACCCTGTGCAACAGCGTGATTTCTTACACAAACAGTTACTTAACCCCAAACAAAAATACACTGAGGTGCACAAACACAGAACTGAACTAATTTTGTGCATGCAAGTGACAGCATAAATGTGTTAATTGGTCACATATTTTTGACCTGAATTTCAGTTGTTTATATTTGGAATTTTGGCCAAAGGTATTTTGTTGTATTCACTGGGGATTTGGTTGTGCAGCTTTCACTGTGCTTGTTTGGAAGCTGTATAATTAAACCCCTTCATCTTTGAAATGACATATTTTTTAAAAAACTTGCCCCAACACTGCAGTAAGCAGGTAGGAGTCTTATGTTGGGGGATACTCGCTGCTGTGCTTTAGTAGTATGCAGTTTTTTAGTATTTTTGGACTTAGATGAGTGGATCACACTCTGAAGGAGAATAGGTGGGCTGTATCTCTTGTACCAATATGTGCTAAAAATTGCTGTTTTCCATGTTTATTTTGTTCTGAAAATATCAATACTTGTTTATTTATGTTAAGGTTATAATTGCTTCGTATATTCTTACATTTTTACCTCAAAGTAGATATTTGACTGAGTAGATCTTAAACATGCAGTTGTATTTGAAGTATTTTGTTTTGCAGTGTGAATATCTGCATGATTTTAATCATAATTCATTTCATGTGCTAAGTAATTAAAGTTTTATGTTTAAGATCACAGACAAGACTTCTTGTGTTATTCCAAATTTATGTTGTGATAAAGTGGTGATTGTGTTGTGTGCAAATATTTAAGCCTAAACATAAGGGAGCTGTCATGTACTATGCATGTATTTTATATCCAACATACTAACAACTCTCTATATAAATGCAAGGCCAAAGTTAATGAGATTGATTTTGGGCAGTCTGTGGTTTGGGCATATTTAGGTTCAGAATATAGGTAAAGTTACATTGCTTATTACTTCTGAAGACCATTATTGATTAAGCAGTGATGTATGAAGAAAAGGGGTTAACTAAATTTTTTCCCTCTTATGCCAAAACCTACAACTACATATTATCACAGTCTCTTTGTTTCAAATACCTGTTAAATTTTGATGTGTAATGGCAGCTGAGAGTAACTGGGGGTCCCAGAAGTTGACATTATTTTGTCAAGCACTAAGAAAATGTATCAATGTTTATGTTTAAATATTTCACTGCTTTTCTGTACATGAAAACCTATGGAAGCTTCTGTCTCATAATTTTATGTCATAGCTTTTATTATTATAAATTGTTACTTATAGCTAACATCTTGGCATTTTTGGCACAAAACTGTTCTTTGAGTGTAGACCTATGTGGATATGCAGTTAGGACTGGCTACAAGTGAGAAAGATCATGCTCTACCAAGTTCTTTCTCTCACAGTAAGGCTGCAAGGTTTGGGAGTTCCATTTAGTTTCCATTAAATACAGGTAATAGTCCTATTACTTGCTCTTATAGACAGCCTATGAAAGGCTCAGGCTTCACCTCATCTTGACTTTCCTAGAAATTCTTTATTACAAAAGAGCCAAATAATCAAAACCTGCATGTTTTTCTCAAAGAAAACTGCTCGGTAATAATTTATTCTGGATAAACACAGCCTTGTTAGTTTTTGAGTTTTGTTGTTTGTTTGTTTTTTTCCCTCAGCAGTCCACTGAGATGTTTGCAAACATTCTGCTTTAATTAAACTACTGGACACACTTGTATAATTATCATACATTAGCAGTTATCTCATGCTGTTCTTGCTCTTTGGTGAAAATCTGTCCAATATTAAATGAAGCAAGGAAGAGCACACAAGTACTCTGAGGTGCTATTTGCTAGCTCCCTGCTTAGTTGCTTGCATGAAGTTACAGCTCCCATGGTCTTTAAATTGTCTTACTCTGTGCAGGGAGAAGAGACAGAGATGCATCTCCCCCTTGCTCACACTGCTTAAAGCTGGCAGGCCTCAGAACTGGCATATGCTGTTCTCTGGGCAGGTGAGACAGCAGCAAGAGTCTGGGGTAAATGCTGAATCAATGGCATGCCAAAAGCAGTCAGATTCTGGCATTTCTGTAGGGTGGGTATAATTGGAATGGGTTCCTGAAAACAATAAAAGTAGGGCTGCTTCTATTTAGCCTGGAAAGCTGTGCTCCTGGAATGGGGTTAGATGGAAACAGTGCAGCAGAACCATCTACACCTATTTGAGGTTTACAGAATTGACTTTGTGACTGGGAGATGATTTTAATCCCTGTGTTTGTTATTAGTGACTTTGATCAAGTTTGAGTTTATGGTGCTGGTTCTGCTTCTTAATGACCTCTCTTTTTAGAGAGCATTTCCATTGAATCTTTGGTCCCAAGTTAAATTTCTTATCTTAAAAAAACTCAAAACAGGTAGCTTACAAGGAAGAAAAGAGGGATGAGGTGATTTAAAGTGGGCAGATACTTCACAGGGAGGAAAGCATAATTCTAATTAGAAGCTTGTACAAAGCTGGAAATTCAATTCAGGTATTCTCAAAGAGAAATTCAAACACAATTTTCAATAGCTGAACTGGAATGAAGCCAACTTAAGAATCAACTTTCTTTTTTGTGTTTTTGGTTTTTTGTTCATTTTATTTTATTTGGAGTTTTGTTTTGTTTGTTTAAATGTTATGCTGGCTTTCTGTAAGTTTTTTTTTAATTAAACCAAATTTATTTAGATTGGGTACTGATGTAAAATAAAGTAAAAAAAGATGGCTTCGTTTTTGAAAAGCAACTTGCTTTGCCTTTGTCTAGTCATAATTAATAAATTTGGATGTATGTTTCATATTCAAAGGGTTGGAGATGTTATGTATATCACTGTATGTATTCAAAATTTCCATTACAAGCCTCCCAAAAAAAGTCTGCTGAATATCAAAGAACTCAGATACTGGAACTCAACTTTTTACACTTAGTTGTAATTCTCCTTTAGTAATGGTCTTGTTCTGCCCATAATCAAAGAGCTCCCTGGCAGCACATCTGAAGGTTAAAGCAAAGAAACTAAGTTTAAAAACTTTTTCATCTCAAACTGAGAAATAGGGAGAGCTCTTTTCTGTTCACTGGGAGCTGTCTGCTCTGGAGTTAAATATGTAATCTACAAGCTGTGTGGTTTAACTCTTTTTCAGGTATATGAGAAGATAGATTTCTTATTCCACACTGCATTAAGATAAACTAAGAGAGAAATTCTTAACTATATTAAAAATAAATTTTAAAAAATGCTTCAGGGAATTATTCTGGAAGACCTACTATTTTGCATTTATAAACCTTTTTCAGTCCAAATTAATTTGATGAGATCCTAGACCATTTAAATACTAGCAAGCAAGAATTCACAAACGGGAATAACCATGAATAATTTTTCTAATCTGATGTTTCTTGCTGAAGTTTGAGTGGAAGGGACTGTTTATGCAGGGACATGAAATTGATATTTGTTTCATAGAATACTAGGTGCTGATATAAGAATTTTGATTGTTTTTTCTTTTTCTAGAATATACATTCATAGTGTTTACTAGCTCTAACTTTAACACTACCAAATAATTGCACTTTGAGGACAAATTAAATTTTCTGATTTCCAAATTAAATTTTTCTTTTCATGAACTTTTTTATGGCAATAGCTTTCTACTGTGTTTTGCACCAATGGAAACTTCAGAACTTCAGTGCTTGCCTTGTATAAACCACAGACAAATTTCCTTTTCAGTGCAAAGAATTAATTTTTGTTTATCTTAAGGCTGTTCCTAATCAAATTACACTGAGTCATTATTAATCAAATGTTCACAATGTAAATGTCCTTACTGTCTCTCATGACAATTTAGTCTGTTTTAAACTAGATTTTGCCAACCAATACCTCAGCCTGAATGTGAAAGTGTAAGTACTAGTTTTTTTGAAAGCTTGCAGTTAATAGAGAAAAACATAGGTAACATATTTACTTCTATTTGCATTTGAATTCTTCCTAGCAAACTGATTCTTGGTATAAGAAATGGAGAAATTTTCAATAGAGAAGACTGTCTCTGAATGCAGAAAAGTGCTACCACTCTTTGTCCATAAATTAATATCTCAATACATGTTAATAGCAGTTTCCACTTATTTATTTCTCCCTTTTTTAGTATTGGTTCTCTTGTTTTGATGTTTTCCCATGTATGCTTTCACCTCTTTTAACTATAAAATTATATTCTGCATATTGTTATTAATGCGGGACTTCTTCCCATAGCAGCCCTCAAATCCTGTAGTCTTAAAGTAATCACTGAAAGTGGAGGAGGGAGCATATAGGATATAGGCAAATGGTTATGTCAAAAAGTTTTTTACTAAATTATTTGCTCCTGCTCTTGTAGTCCAGTAACTTGTTTCATTTTCTAAGGATAATTCCTGAAAACTGTATTTCATGGAAACAGACTCAGACCTTAAACCAGGTTGCAACTGCTTGGTAACCTTGGTCACTACACAAAAAATTGTAAGCCAGGATTTGCTTGTCTGGGTTTTGTGTGTTTGTAATAGTATCTCATGGCCCAAGTTAAGAAAGAAGCTTAGGTCACAGATATGATAAGGATGTGGAATAAGTCATAGTGTCAGCAAATAAATAAATGTGAGAAAACTAGAACCTTGAAAGGATTTTGGAGGAACTTTGACTATTCATGTTTCTTCTCTAACCTGCACTGATCCCTTCCACACATGTTCTTTTATTGACGTGTTCTTTTATTTACTCATCTAAACATTATTTTGTGCCTGTATAGAAAGTCTCTTTAAATTCTGTCTTCCTATGTAATTCCTATTGGCCTGCCTGTAAGCACACATGAGAATAATGAACTTCATGTTCAATGCTTTCGTCCCAGGTTTTTTTTAGGCTGGTTTCATATCTCTCAGCATGACTGCAATTCTGAAAAATAGTGGCTGCCTGGTTGGCAATCTTCAGGTCCTACTGCAATAAAACTTCGAAACAATAAAAAATCAGATTAATGACTGTGTTATTGTTCCCATCAACTGTAGCTCCTATTGCTTTGACTGATATCTAGTATCAGAACATGTCAACCTGGCAAGGTCTGTTTGCCTTCGCTGTCTCTGTGGGTGTTATTACCCAACCGACTGCGCAAGCAGAGAAGGTAGAGCTGACCCAAAGTCAGTGATTTCCAAATGGCCTTTACTCATAGTCAAGGCCACCAACAAACACACGCTTAATTTTATGAGTTTTCTTAGAACAGTAGCGTATTCAAGCTCAGAATGCTTCTGGCTTTGTAAAAGCACAGTAACAACTTATTAAGTGCTGTTAAAATAGTGAGATGTGTTTATTATTTAGAAAGCTATATTCAGCTAATAGACTTGCTAAGAAGATGATCAGAGGGATAGAGCACCTCTTCTCCAAGGAAAGACACAGAGAACTGGGATTGTTAAGCCTGGAAAAGAGAAGGCTTTGGGGTGAGCTCATTGCAGCCTTCCAATACCCAAAGGGAGCCTTCAGGAATGATGGAGAGGGACTCATTATAAGAGCAGGTAGTGACAGGATGTGGGGAATGGCCTCAAATGGAAGATAGGTTTAGATTGCATAGTACAAGAAGTTAGAAGAAATTAGAGCATTATCTGCGAGAGAGGTGAGGCACAGGAACAGGCTGCCCAGAGAACTTGTGGATGCCCCACGTTCCTGGAAGTGGTCAAGGGCAGGTTGGATAGGGACTTACAGAAGCTGCCCCTGCCTGCGGCAGGTGATTTGGAATCTAGGTGATTTTTAAGCT